GGAAACTAGACTGAATACAACTATTCAACATATACATTACACATATATAAACATATTAAACACATACATATTAAATACACATTTGCAAAGATCGACATTGCTAGACAATCAGAAACCCCCTCCTGGATTTAAGAATGGGTTTAGTTTCCTTTGTGTTTTTTAAACTGATGGAGGTTGGGAATGTCAGGGCAGGAAGAAAGTGCTTTGGTTAGCAGAGTCTGATGCTCCTTTCTGTCTACATATTTCCTGAAGACTATTACCCCAGTTAAGAATGAGAATGGACATAAGAAGGAGATTGGTGTCTTGGCAGCTTTAATTAACATCACCATGACCCATGCCCTGGGCAAAGTAGTACTTTTCATACACTATCCAGGTTAATCCTCTCAGTAAGGCTTTGAGGTATGGGTAATATTCTCATTTTAAAGTTGAGAGATGAGGTTATGTAACTTGCCCAAATAAGTGTCTGAACCTGGAGTCTAACTGGGCTCCTGACTCCAGAGCCAAAGACCTCTACACCTGTACGTGTGCACATTAATTATGCACTTACTATATCCCAAGGAAGCCAAGTGTGGATGATGGTGAAGGCCATTTGATAAAATGTTATGTATTTGAGTATTCTCCCACAACTTGGCTTTAGTAGTATTTGGTTTAAGCTGGTTATTCTGAGGAAATAAAATCCTGTTATGTGATAGTATACAAATAATATAAAACACTTCCTTTATAAATTAGCATTTGACATTGCTGACCATGTCCTCCCTGAAAAGATCCTCCTTCAGTGTTCCACTATCAGAATATTGAATAGCAAATCATCTCTGATAGCTTGGCTGGGTGTCAGAGTTTGATGACTGATTCCCCTGCACTCTCACTGGAGAGAACGATGTCCAACCCTGGTGGGAGCCTCACTGGCTCCTTAATGTCATGGCTCCTTAAGTCTCAGCTCTGTTAGTATGAGCTGCAGGCTGCTTTGAATTTGCTCCACACGTGTGTGCTTCAGGGGTCAGCCAGAGATTTGGGCAGAATTATCCACAATACTTCGGGCTCCCAGTATTCAGTTTAGAGTTAAGTTTGAACACATTCTAATGCTCTACATATTTATCCCCACACCAATTTTCTGTATTTTTGTCACATTTTTACATCTTTTTACCTTGTGTAACTCTTAACTAATTATTGTAGTTAAGTATCTTTACTACTCTTGTCTTTTAACCTTCAAACTAGCTTTACAGGCGATTAATCTACTACTTTACTGTATATTTACCTTTTACCATTGAGATTTATACATTCGTGTTTTCTTGCAATTAGTGCCCTTTTCTTTTCAGTTTAAAGAAGTCCCTTTAACATTTCTTGTAAGACTGGTTTAGTGTTGATGAATTCCTTTACCTTTTCCTTGTCTGGAATATTCTTTACCTTTCCTTCAATTGTGAATAATAACTTTGCCATGTAAAGTATTTTTTTTCTTTTAGCACTTTCAATATGTCATGCCATTCCCTTCTGGCATGTAAAATTTCTGCTGAAAAATCTGATAGTCCTATGGGGACAACATATCAAGTTGTTTTCCTTTTGCTGCTTTTAAGAGTTTCTCTTTGTCTTTGACATTTTAATTATAATGCATCTTGGTATAGGTCTCAGTGGATGCTTTTCAGAGCTGCTTCTGCACTGGGCCCTGGTGCAGGTAAATCTGCATACCTTTTAAGAGCTGTTAATCATTTTGGCACAGCCCAGGATACATCATTGGATGAGAGGCCCATTGGATAAGAAGCCAGATGTTTGGGAGCTCATCTCTCAGGTGCCAGTCTTAAAAAGTTGGATGCCTAGTGTGGGGTATGAGATCCCTTCTTCTCAGGGAAAAACTCCAAATTTTGAGTTTCTTCCTGATTGTGGGTTACCACACCAGGGTGGGGTTTATGGCAAAACTGTGTCTCAGCCTTTCCTAACTATTTCAGTGTGGTTTCACTCTTGTTTGCCTTATATGAAGGAGTCACTTCACTCATTTTAAGGTTTTTCTCTGAGGAAATTATTCCATGTAAAGATGTAATTTGGTATGTGCCTGAGACATAAGTTCTGGATCTTCCTGCATTGCCAATTAATACTTTTTGTTGTAATTATTCTATAAGCACAAACTTTTAAAACTTGTCATTGTAGGTATTCAGTTCCCTAACTTAAGCATGAAGAAACACTAACTTGAATCTTGCCAGGATTGTTTAGGAAATCAAAATTTACATGAATTTAGTTTGCTTTACATTTACATCACCCTTATATTTTTTATAGCAATAGCATGTTTTTTTCACCAGCATTTGACATTTAGAAAGTAAGAGCTATGCATTAAAAGTTCTGCAAGAAAATAAACTTTAATTAAATTTTTTCTCCTAGTCCCAGAAGGAACATGAATTCTAAAATTGAATGTTCTACATAACAAAAAGCATGGCTGCAACTGAAAGCATTTGTATTTCTTCTGAGAAAGTGCAGGTCTCTCAATTTCTACTTTATCCTCTGTCAACACTCATAGGATAGCTGGATAGTAACTATGATAGAGCATTCTTAGAAGTGTATGAAAGCTAAAAATATAAAATAACTTTGACAGTTTTAGAAATGATGAACCAAGTAAGAGTAAGGAAACTAGACTGAATACAACTATTCAACATATACATTACACATATATAAACATATTAAACACATACATATTAAATACACATTTGCAAAGATCGACATTGCTAGACAATCAGAAACCCCCTCCTGGATTTAAGAATGGGTTTAGTTTCCTTTGTGTTTTTTAAACTGATGGAGGTTGGGAATGTCAGGGCAGGAAGAAAGTGCTTTGGTTAGCAGAGTCTGATGCTCCTTTCTGTCTACATATTTCCTGAAGACTATTACCCCAGTTAAGAATGAGAATGGACATAAGAAGGAGATTGGTGTCTTGGCAGCTTTAATTAACATCACCATGACCCATGCCCTGGGCAAAGTAGTACTTTTCATACACTATCCAGGTTAATCCTCTCAGTAAGGCTTTGAGGTATGGGTAATATTCTCATTTTAAAGTTGAGAGATGAGGTTATGTAACTTGCCCAAATAAGTGTCTGAACCTGGAGTCTAACTGGGCTCCTGACTCCAGAGCCAAAGACCTCTACACCTGTACGTGTGCACATTAATTATGCACTTACTATATCCCAAGGAAGCCAAGTGTGGATGATGGTGAAGGCCATTTGATAAAATGTTATGTATTTGAGTATTCTCCCACAACTTGGCTTTAGTAGTATTTGGTTTAAGCTGGTTATTCTGAGGAAATAAAATCCTGTTATGTGATAGTATACAAATAATATAAAACACTTCCTTTATAAATTAGCATTTGACATTGCTGACCATGTCCTCCCTGAAAAGATCCTCCTTCAGTGTTCCACTATCAGAATATTGAATAGCAAATCATCTCTGATAGCTTGGCTGGGTGTCAGAGTTTGATGACTGATTCCCCTGCACTCTCACTGGAGAGAATGATGTCCAACCCTGGTGGGAGCCTCACTGGCTCCTTAATGTCATGGCTCCTTAAGTCTCAGCTCTGTTAGTATGAGCTGCAGGCTGCTTTGAATTTGCTCCACACGTGTGTGCTTCAGGGGTCAGCCAGAGATTTGGGCAGAATTATCCACAATACTTCGGGCTCCCAGTATTCAGTTTTCTCCTCTCTGGGATTTCCCCCAGCTCACTTTCCAACTGCTTGTGGTTACCTCCATCTCCATTCTGTAGTTCTTCAAACCAGCAAGAATGGGAAACTTACCCAATGCCACACCATTCCATTGTTCCAACTGTCAAACTTTACCTCCAGTATCTGACTTCTTTCAGTGAGTCATTCTTTAGGGCCTTCAGGTAGGCTTTTACATTTTTTAATTTTGTCCAAAAATTATAGTTGTTATCTGAGTGTGTTAGGGACCAGGGGGTGGGCAGTGGAGCAGTCCAAAAAGAACTTTAGAGAGCTTTCTTTTTAAGAATCAAATCCTATGCAAATCCATTAACTTTTATGTTAAAATTAATCACTAATCATGATTCACTGTTGACCTTTCTTTTGCCTATTTTGTTCACGCTGTCTTTTCCCACCTAAATCTCTCTTTAATTCAATTACTATTTGAGAATTTGTTGAGTACTTACTAGGTGCAAGGCACAATGCTATATGCTCTGTTGAAGTCTTGTTCATTCAAAGTCCAAATCAAATGCAAATGCCTCCAGGATCACACCCTCCCTCCTAATGGGTATATGTGCTTTATTTTCTTCTGAATGCCTTTGTTACTTTGTTCCTCCCTTTTGACATTTTATTTATTAATATACTTGCTTTTCTCCCCACCACTGCAGTCTTGTTCCCCCGTTAGACCGTAGACTTCACCAGGGCAAGGGCAAGTCTCACTCATGTTTGTATCCATCCATGTTGTCTTAAACATGATTTTAAAGTCAGGGACTAAAACAATATACGAAAGTCTTTGCAGTTAGAAAGAGAGAAAAAAAAATGTAGAACAGTAGCTTCCTGTCTCTATTCTCAGAAGTAGAGTGGGACATCAAGTAATAAAGCATTCTTTGTTTCTAGAACATTTCCCCCTCCTCCTCCCCAACCCTTTTTCTTTTTCTCACTATTTAATTGTGGTCTAATTTAATCTTTAACTTTTTTGTATGCTTAGTCTCATCTTTAAAATGGGATAATATGTATGTTGATATAAAACACTTTTTGCTTTATTACAGTTCACTAAGGGAGCCTTTCCTTTTCCCTTGAAAATTCAGTGCCAAAACTCAAGTAAACAGACTATTGCTGTCCCAAAAATGAATAGGAGAATAACCCAAACATTTGATTCTTCCTTAATTTATAAAATATTACAATAAAATTTCATAGATTGAATTGTCAGTAACAAAGGACATATAAGCATTTTTCTCTTTGAGCCATAGTAATGAGCATACTGTAATATGGAAACTGTAGAAATAAAGTTAAGTGAATTAAACCAGTTTTTCTAATAATTTCACTTCTTTCTTAGATTCAAGTCAGAAGACATTTAAAAGAAGAAGGTCTCTCATAAGCTGGGCCTTCTGGCGGGGTTCCAGCACTCACCTGGATGACTTGCCCATGTCCCCAACATCTCCTACACCAGGACGGCTCTTTGGAGTTTCTCTCCCAAATATTTGTGAGAATGACAATCTGCCCAAACCTATCTTGGTAAGTCTCGTTTTGGCCTGTGACACTAACGGGAAAGAACTCTTAGCAGCGGGGGCAGGAATCTGTACCCAAATGGAAAAACTATCAAATCCTCTGCAACTTTTATGTTTAAATTAATCGCTAATCATGATTCACTGTTGGCCTACAGGCCAAACACCCATGACTGTGGCTGAGAGTCTTTATTATTATTACTTCAAAGAATAAAAATCTGATAAAGCTATTGCAGAATCATAATGCATAATAGGGAGACATCGTCTAGTCTGCTGGTTTCAGGAAAGAGCCACGTAATAAGCCAGCTCAGATAAACTAGAGTTCACTCTGTAGACAGAGAAGCCACATTAGGATCCACATCATCCCTCACACTTCTCTCACATCCTTTCTGGAATATATTGTTCTGAAAGTCTCCTTTAGTCACTTTAGCAGCAGAAACTACTCATTCTTACACTTAAAAAAAATCTTACTTTACTTGTATTCCAAGTGTAATCACAGAGATACCTGCTCTGGTATTTAGTTGTCTTTCATTAACCGATGGGTCACATGAAAGCCATTGAGTTTGTGTTGTCTCCCACTGATATATTCAATGATCACTGTTAAGCAACATTTATTGGGCATTCAGTATCCCCAAGCATTATACATTAGATGCATTTTATCCTAAATGGTATATCTGCAAGTGCCAGGTATCAGGCTAGCCATGTTGTGTATCCTACACTAGGGGGTCATTATTATCATCATCCTCATCTTCTCTACTTCACATATTTTTAAAAAGCCTCAAGTTTACTGAAGGTCACTAGAAAGAAAGCAAAATGAAAGACTGATCAGAATGGGATGGGATGGAATGGAGAAAACTTCCTGGAGATGATCCATTTTTGAGACTGGAAGTAGAATGGAAGGAAGGACAGGAAGTAGAATGAAGTATAAAGGTACATAAAAAGGAAGACAAACAAGTAAAGAAAGAGTTTGGCAAGGATATTTCCATATTCGGGGACAAGAGTCCATGTTGGAGAACTGGAAAAGAGTCAAGAGGTAGGACAGAATTGCATTAAGAGAGACCTTGAAGCTTTCAGGAAATTACATTTTAAAGTGGCTGTTGGTTTATTGAACAAGACAATCTCATAAATCAAAGTGTTTAAAGTAAAATGTTTTAGATGTTGATAAACTAAAGAATAAATAAGGGAAAAGAGATTTAGAGGTACCCAAAACAAGCTGACCTTAGTTTTTCCAGCAGACCCCCTGGGTCCCCAGTCCCCCGGGACACCTGGCATCTGACCGCTGAGGAGGGCAAGTATGTGTTCCCTTGCTTGTATGTGTGAAGTGCCATTTTGGATTTTTCCCTTTGCTTCCCTGTAGGATATGCTTTTCTTTCTTAATCAAAAAGGACCCCTCACAAAAGGCATCTTCAGACAATCAGCCAATGTGAAATCCTGCAGAGAGCTAAAAGAGAAACTGAATTCTGGAGTTGAAGTACACCTAGAGTGTGAATCTATTTTTGTGATAGCATCTGTCTTAAAGGTAGGAAAGGCTGTCCCTTCATCCATCCCATGGTGTAGCTCTGGAGAAAGACAACTGGTTTCTCTCATCATGACATTGTTTCCATCTGCATAGATTTTAAATCTTTTTAGTGTTAAAAAACAGTTCACAAAGCCAGCATTGACCTTTAAAAGCCAACTTCAACAATAATGGCTTGTCAGATCAGCTTTCTTTAATTTTTTCATCCCACACCACTCTCCTTATCTTCACCTCTGCCAGCCCATGTAGAAAAAAATAAAATAAAAATTAAGAATACTCAAAGGACGCACAGCTTATTTACCAGAATAAATATCCTGATTATGATGATTTCATTGCCTTTCTGATAATGACAAAATTTTCAAAAATAAACCATTATTGAACCTTGAAACAGAGTTTACCATAATACAAACATAATAACAACTGAAACAAAGAGATCACTGAAAATTACATTCACTTATACAATCATTATGCCTTCCCCTGTTCCCTAATACCTTCTTAAAGTAAATACAGAATAGAAAGGACTCTATACACTGGGCCTTCTTTTATAAAACCCTTACCACATTTGACATTCTTCATAGTCCTTACACTTTACCTTGTGGTTACTTAACTCACATCCATAGTTAGAGCACTTCTAAAATGCTTTCCCTCTGCACTTTCTTGAGTTTACCTAGAGTCAAAACCAGCTTCTAGCAATGCTTTTGACCAGAGCCCTAGTTTCTGAAGACCTGCCTCAGGCTCCAACCTTCCAGCAAGGTTGGAATGCACTGGAGCCAGAGGTAGAGATAAGGCCTCACCCTGCATCCTGGAGCCTGGAGCATAAAATCAAATTAAGGAAAACACAGTGAAGAAGACTTTTGCATATCCCTACTCCTTGTCAACTCTGTACAGAATCTTACTTAGTGGTTTTATGAACAATCAGATATGTTTTGCTAAATGAACTGTGTCTGCTCTTAACCCCTCCTGTAGGCTTTTACAGTAAAGTATTACTCAGAACTAGAGAGCTGGAGCTAGAATCATCTAATCTCTTTTATACAAGTTTCACAATTACTCTTCAATCTTAAAATATGATAAAGACACATATGTTGTACTTAGCCAGATACATGCCAGGAATATATATGCACAATGAATTTTTCTTTGTTTTTTCTTTTTTTATCATATAATTAGTCTTTCTCCCATCTCTCATTTTGGAAGCTAAAGCCTATTTTAGAAAATTTGCCTTATTATGCTACTCTTTACAACACAACGCTTCTTAAAATTTTGCACTAGATCATTGAGGCTATTACAAAGAATATGGTTCTAGAAGAGTTAAATTGTATTTCAAATTGAAGAAATATTACTTGTACAAAATAAGCAAAAGATAAATGATCCAAATGATTGAGAAGTCTGGTAAAATAGGTTCCAAGTAATTGCAATTTTATAATCATGTGACTGTGTTTTACTCTCATTTCTTCCAAGTGGTTTCAGGAAAGGAGATAATTTTTCCAATTTTTTTTTCTTCTTTTTAAGACTATTTGGAAATGGTACTTTTTTCCTTTAAGTTTTTACTTTATGCTAGTTTTGCTCAAATATAAGCTTAACTCTTCAAATTGTAATTGGAAGAAAATTGCTTGAGACACTCACATTGGTCCATCAGACCTTTGAGGAAAAAGTTCATTTTTAATCCTGCAGGAATCTCATCTCAGATTAATTTGAGCATTCTGCTGACCGGGCTAGTTCTGGAAGGGAGGAGACTTGCAGTTGAGTGCTGTGAGTTGGTGCTGGTGATTCAGAATGAGCTCTTACATCTTTTATCAGCTGTGGTGGTGGTTGTATTCCTTAACTTGTTATTCCAGCTGTAGAGAGTTCATTGAGATGTTATGAGTTATTATCTTTCAAGTGTAGGTTTAAGGCTTGATGTTTTTCTTTAAGATAGAAGTTGTCCTCAGAGATTTAAAAAGAGAGCTATGTCACTGCCCCACTTTGAAATAACAAATTTTGTCTCTTCTAAATCTGACTTTTAAAGTAAGTGCAGCAACTAAAATTCATTTGGAATTATGAAAATTCAGTAGCTTTCCCAAAAAAGAGGCAACTTTTGTGATGACCCATCTGAATCACAAATATCCAGGCACATTTATACTGGAAGATACAATAGAACAGAGAAAGATTTTGAATCAGTCATCTTCCTACTTATAGCCACTCTTAAAAAAGTTGTATGACAATAGTTGACATGACTATAAAGAGGGTTTCTTAATTATCTTAGAATCTCAATTATAGTTGGCCCTCCCTTACCCTCATTAATATTTGGCCATGATGCAAATATTAACAGTTCAGTAATGACCTCTACTATTTCTGGGACTGTGCTTGGCATTGAGGTATACAAAGAAGGTGAAGGTCTGTCCCTGCCCTGGAGGAGCTCCTGAGCTAGTGAGGGAGATGCACACCTGATCAACTAATTGTAACAATTAGGTATTGCAGCTTCCGTATTAGTAATGCCAACATGATGTATAACTAAAAAGTTGTGTGCTGCCTTTGGTAAATCACATAGATAAAGCTGCTGATTTGGTTTTTTCCAGCAAGAGTTAAAATTGGTCAATTGCAGACTTTCACCTGCCTCAGTGTCTTAAGCAGGAACTTGCAGGAAGATAGTCAACCATGGGTACAGTGCTTAAACACAAAATTGAGTTTACTCTGAAGTTTGCTGAAGTGGAGATCAGACGTTTCAAGCTTGGCCTTATTAATCCCATGCCAAAAGCAACAGAGAGAGTTGGCCTAAAACAGAAATGAACACAGGAAGACCAAATATAGCTTTTTATTTTACTTTTCATTAAACTTTTTATTTTTAAAAAACTGCCAAGCAGCAAATACCCTTGGTTATATCCTTTTTGTGTCATAGTCTGGGTTTTACCATGCCCAGTCCTGCCAGTGGTCTCAGCAGAACAGGTATCACCAGAAAGGATAATGTACTGGGGACTTGTTATTTAGTATACATCAGGCCATGGGGTGCTGTTCCAGACTCCCAGAGCCCAGTTATTGCCTGGAATGCTTTCAACCCCCAAATATATGACAGTCCTTCTATGAGGAACACAGGGAGAAACACTGTGCCTCTCAGTGAAATTGTTCACCAGTGCCACTGGAATATAAAGTTCTAAAATAGCAGGGACTTTGTTTTATTCATAGCTCTATCCCTAGTACCTCAAACAGTTGCTGAAATATATGAGTAAACATGTTTAGAATGATTGCCACATTACAAACCTCACAAATATGCATTTCTTTGAACTCGTGATTTGAGAGCAGGAAAAAGGATTTAGGATGGTTTGCCAGACCCTGTCATGTTGCCCTAATTTGCTAAAATGTACACAGACAGGGGGTTCAGCCCAAACAGGTTGTCCTTTAACTTTCCCACTGTTGTCCCCACTCCAGTTTCCCTCTGGTTTTGTGAAAAAAAATCAAAGCATGTGTTTCTATGTGTGCATGTCAGTGGAGAGTTGGCACAGAGCTCTGTGTTTTCCAAAGAAAGGACTCTTCAGTTAAACATGTTCTTTCTGATTTTCTTAATACATATTTAGCATGAGAATAACCATTTAAAATTTCTCCTTCTATGTAAGGATTTCCTACGAAATATTCCAGGAAGTATTTTTTCATCAGATCTCTATGATCACTGGGTCTGTGTACTGGATCAAGGAAATGATGAAGAGAAAATAAATACAATTCAAAGGTAATTATTCTAATTTGGTTATATCTCAAAAATACTTTTAAAATATATATTTTATAAGCATATCTATGAAAGTAATGATTACCATAAAAGTCCTATCCACGAGGACCAAATTTATGTTGGCTACTGTCATTACTGCTATTGTTTTCTCCCTAATCTTATTAACATGGAATACATGACCACTGTATACCTTTTATATATCTGAATCTGTTAGGAGCTGAAACCCGTTAGACCAATAGTTAATACTGTAGACCCACTGTACAATTTATTATCTTAATTTTGGTAAATTTAGCTAACCAGACAACTCCTTATATATCTCATTCAGCAAGTGAATTCATAACAGAAAATTCCCTCCACTCAAGGAACTTACAGTCTAGTAGAATACACAGATAAAACCAAGAACTTCAAGTACAATGTAGTATGTATGATGAGTGCTATAAAAGACCTGTGCAGGGGCTGGTGCTGTGGGAGCATCGCAAGAGAGAGTTCACTCACTGGAGATCATCAAGGGAAAGGGGCTGCAAAGTCTCAGTCCGATCCCAAAGAATGCATCGTCCACACTCAGGCAAATGGGACTGGCAGAATTCACTGCCCTCGTTCCTGATCCCTGCGTTATAAGAGAATAAAAAGGAGGAGAATATTAACAAAAAGCAGTACTTCCAGTTCCGCGAAAACCCAAGTCCCACTGTCATTTATTTGCATATGCTTGTTTAGTAGTTTTTTTTCTTGAACAACTATCTACACACTGCAATTAATAGACTTCTTTTATCATAAGAACATAGTACAATGTTGAACATGCCAGAAACCAAAGCTCTGTAACAAAATACTATCTCCTCTTCCATTATGGTTTGGTGGAATCCATTCAGAAATAGTGATCATCGGATTGTATACATTGTTGCTCATTGTCTAAAATGTTATATCGTGTAAACTGCCTGGATGCTTTTTTTCTTTAAAGGCAAATATGACTCTTATACAAATATCAGGTGTTTTTTATACAAAAATCAGAAATATTTTATTTAAATCATTAATTAGTGAAAGAACTAGTAAGATGTTACCACCAGTTCAAAGAAGATTTTAGACTGCCACAACTTTTGTTGTTGAATCAGAAGTGTTGAATTTACAAACAGATGCAAAACTGGCTTTTTCTATTGAGGCATGAGGGAATCAATTAAATCATTTTCTCTCTCCACCAGACAGAATGTCAAGTCTATAAGTGTTAGGTGCACTGCTCTCTGTAATCTACAATTTACCAGACTTGTGAAATAGCTTAAAGGCATAGGGCACCCAGAGAATTAGATAACCCAAGAGTATGCTAGACAACACCTTACTCTCCGCTGAACACACTCAGTGGTCCATTTCAATATCTTTCATAATTTGTCCCTACAAAACTGTATCATTATCAGTCCATCATACTGAAGAATGCCTCTCTGCTATTTATGCAAGCGAAGTCAAATTACCTTACTTTCCCCCCCAGGTTGCAGATTCTTGTTGAAAAAAAAACAACCATGAATTTCAACATATATGTTTTCTAAATGGTAGTAAAAATCATTTTCATTGAATAATTTAAAAATCCTATCAAGTACAAAATAAGAACAGTAGGAAATATATTATTATAAGCTTCACTTATATGTGAACTTGATATCAGTGAAGTAAAGCGGTTTGGGACAAAATTGACCTTGGAAGCTGGTGAAGCAGAGCATAAGGGAAGTCTTAGTAGAGCTAAGGTTTGGGTTCTCAGCAAGAGAACAAATTCCTGTGTTGCTAGTGGAAATAAAGGGAGCACTTTAAATTTAAGTGTTTAATTTCATTAGAAAGCTTTTTGGGGGTTTTTGGTTGAGAATATACTAAAATGTTAATAAGATTTGTCTAAGTTAAAACACATTGTACCAGTTTCAAGAATATTTCAGGAAGGTTGTTTTTAATGAGCCATTTTTCTGCATTCTTCCACATTTTCATGGGATATGAAGATGGTATATAAAATAAATACACAAATCCCTAGGACTTCTTTTCTCCCATTCTCTACAGGCAATCCTCACTTTGCCTGTACCATGTGAACTGAAACTTTTGCATATCTGAACTGTGTTCTTGCTCTGCATGGTCCTCCAGGAAAAGTAAGGGTTGTCTGTCTTTACAAGTTTCTTATGAAATGTCTTGCTTAAAACACACATTTTTCTGTCCTTAGGCTATTAGACCAGCTTCCGAGAGCCAATGTTGTTCTCCTAAGGTATCTTTTTGGGGTATTACACAACATTGAACAACAGTCCTCTTCCAATCAGATGACTGCATTTAATTTAGCAGTGTGTATCGCTCCAAGCATTCTTTGGCCTTCTACTTCCTCCAGCCCAGAACTAGAAAATGAATTTACAAAAAAGGTAATGCAGTTTTTCAGTTTTATACCCTAGGGGATTGAATCCCCATTTTGAACCTATTCGGAGTATTATTTCTGAAAGACATTTTCTTAAATACCTTAAGTATAAATATGAGTTCATTGAGTGATTTATCCTATTCTGATAGACTATAGAAGGGTGATTTCTTGAGCAAAAAAGTGATAGCAATTGGGTTACTTCTCTTTTCCTTTTAAGGAGGCAAAACACTATGACTGATTTAACCATAGAGGGATTGATAAGAAAGCAGTTGATGTGACTTAAAAAAGAAGAAAAGACTTTGGAGTTAGACAAGCCAAGGTTCAGTTCTCAGCCTCATCACTTGCCAGATGCACAGTCTTGGGTAAAGTTACTTACACTGATCCAGTCTCCTTATCTGAAAAATGGAGGTGGTGATAATACCTAGTTTGCACACAGTAGTTACTTGAAATCACGGTGTTGTAGAGCCTAGCAGTTAGCACAGGGTTTGGGACACTAATTAGTTCCCTTTCTTCCCAACATTCTTCCTGCTCTTTTGCTCAGCTGCTGAGGCAAGGAAAGTGAAGGAAAGTTCCAGTATGTCTCGGCGGAAGCACAAAGCTCCCTAGTAAAATCTTACCTCTTCCCCAAGCATCCCAGTTAGGGAGCCTAGGGAAAGGAAATAATGGGTAGAGACTAGTTCAGGCAAAAGGTGAGTTTTCTCTCTCCTTCACAGGAAACCCATAGAGGATGCCTTCTTCCCACAATTATGACAACTCCCTAAGTCATTTATATAAATGTTGGCATTCAGCAGGGCCACAAATAATGACTTTAATCCACTGATTAAAATTAATCTCTATATCCAAACTACCTATAGTATAATTTTTAGGAAAAGCTGTTTTGTATGCTTTTAAAGCAGACATGAATTTTTCTCAGGATTCTCTTGCTTTTCCATTAAAATCAGTATTCATATATGAAGTGTTATTTATAGATATGCAGTATGAAAAGTAACACTGTGTTTTGTCTTTTTTTTGTACAGGTTTCCATGCTTATACAATTCCTGATTGAGAATTGCTGTAGGATATTTGGAGAAGAAATCATTTCCCTCCTGGGAGAGGTTTCAGTGAGATGTGATACCAGAGAGAATGCCTCAGGTATTGTGAACTGGCTGGTTTTTTTGAGAAATAGACATGCCTGTGAAGCTGCTGGGACAGTGCTGTCCTGGAGCTGACAGCAGCTCAGATGAAGGGAGCCTCTGTGTCCAGGGGGCCTAGGACTTCTCCTCCTCCCTTATCCTAGGTCGGACAGGGATGTCACCAGTGTTGTGGGAGTAAGGAACATACTAGACAAGGTCTCCAATTTCAAGTTGTTAGTGGCACCATTATTTGGTATGACGCTTTCAAGCTTTCTTAAATTAAGATTTTATAGGGAACCCTAATTTAGATAATAAAGCTGCTGCAGTTAAAACTACAGAAGGCCTAGAGGCAGGTCTGGTCCTTCTTTCTTCTGCTGCCCCTTAGTGGTCCCTGAGACACTTTATAAATTCTAGTACTCTACAAAAGAGGGTTAAAAAAACAACCAGCATCATTGGGCAGGAGGCAGTTTGAGGACACTCAGACTTACAGAATGGGAACTCTTGTACTACAAGTTACTTGCTATATTCTTTGGCCAATTATTCTATGCCACTGGACATCAATATCTTCATCTATAAATATGGATAACTAACTATAATATCTAACTTTTATGGTTGTTGTAAAGATTATATACAGTAATGGATATTAAAGAACTTTGTCAAAGAGGAATTGATAGGGTTAGTACATGGTTTCTCTGAGACTAGAATTAATTATATGTATCCACCAGCAATCTCCATTAGAAGGCAGTCTTATTAAGAACCTAGGTATACTTGGCATTAATTCCTTCATATTTTTTTTACTATTTCTTACTATTGACATGTCCTCCTTTGTTTGAGGAAGTCTTAAGGAAAGCCCATTTCTTCAGGAACTGAGATATATCTTGGATAACCCAACAGTATTTTTTTTTTCTGCACTAACAATTGGGAAGATTGTGAAAGATTCTTTCCTTGTTGAGAGTAAGAATTTGAACAATCTACATGAAAAGAGAATTAAACTAAGTACCATCATTTGTTTGTTTTTTAAGGCAGCATGTATTTGTGGTAAGGAAGAGTGTTACTCATGCTTCCTTTTCTGACAGATACCTCTGGCTTCCAACTGAACGACTCCTCCTACGACAGCTTGGAAAACGAACTGAATGAGGATGTCGATGCTCCATGCGGCAACCTGGTAAAGAAGCTTGGTCAGGGTAGCAGAAGCATGGACTCTGTGTTAACCCTCAGTGACTATGACCTTGACCAGCCTGAGGTGGAAGGCCTTTTAACCCTGAGCGACTTTGACTTAGACCATTCTAAAGATGAAGATGTTCAAATGGAAAGGCCTCTCAAATCCAAGCCAGTGAACATTGCAGTAGTGTACACAAAGGTCCCACTGCGGGATCGTGCCAGGGCCCCATGTGGCATTAGCACACCCAGTTACCTGTCCACAGCTGCAGCAGATGCCCCAAAAAGCCTGAGGCGACACCGGCGCTGCTCAGAGCCCAGCATCGACTATCTAGATTCCACGCTTTCCTATCTCAGGGAGTTTTATCAGAAAAAACTGCGCAAGTCCAGCTGTGATGCAATTCTCTCACAAAAAGATGAGGACTATCTGAAGCAGAATCAGTCCCTCCAGGAAGAGGGTAAGATGTGTTTTAAAAAGAGCTTAGTCACAGACACTGATACAAAGAAAAATGCCAGTAATAAAAATGTTAAGAAGAAAAGCTTGTCTGGTAGTGAAGGAAATCATGTGAAACTTTTCCCTAAATCCAAGCCAGTGGCCATTTCTGTGGCATCTCATACTAACATGTCTTCACATGATCATGCCAGGAACCAGCCCTTTGATGCAGATAGGTCTGGGTATTCCCCTCCACATACAGCAAATGCTCCCCAGAGTTCCAGGAGGCACCGGCGCTGCTCAGAGCCCAACACAGATGACCAGCACTGCAAACTGACCTATCTCAGGGGGATTTATTCAAAGAAACAACATAAAACGAACTGTGAAGCTGGTCTCTTGCATGGAGAGGAAGATTATCTCAAGCGGCACAAGTCTTTGCAAATGGAAGGGCAAAAGCTAATTAATCAGAGCTTGATCATGGGAATTGAGGTGGGCAAGAGTAGTGCCACAAACCAAAACATTGAGAAGATTTTACCCCCAAGATTAAACATTTGCCCAAGGACTAGCTATTCCAGCTTGTCCTCCCCAGGCACTTCCCCATCTGGCTCATCAGTAAGCTCCCAAGACAGTGCTTTTTCTCAGATTTCTGAACACTCTGTGTTTACCCCCACTGAAACTTCCTCTCCAATAGATTGCACTTTTCAAACTCAAAGAAAACAGGAAATGCTTTCTTCTGATTTCAGCAATTCCAGCTTCATCTCTGGAATGCCTGGTCCCTCATCAGGGCAGGCCAGCAGCCACCTGACTTATAGAAAAAAAGACGCCGTGGAGTGGCATTCACAAACACATTCTGTAACTCTTCACCCCAGCATGTGGTTGAGGAATAGTGTGGCCAGTTTGAAAAACTGGTCCCTCAAAAAGAAGGCAAGGGCATCCAGACCAGAGGAAAAGAAAACGAGTTCTCTAAAAGGACCCCTGGAGCCACCTCCGTATGCTTCTGGTGTTCCAGAAACTAACTCACTGAAAGAGAGACAGAAAGACATGCCTGGAAGGGCAGCTGAAGGGCTTGGAGCTATGCAAACAGCCCAGTGGTGTAGTTCTTATCCCAGCCAGGACCCAGAGAGACACTGTAGTTCTCCTTTCAGCCTGGTGGACGACAGACTCAAGCTTTGCATGAGGTCACATGAGGAAAGAGAGAATAGTGGGCAGTGCCCTCCGGGTCCTCTCCTTTGTGAAAGCTCTTCACCCAGCTCTCTGACTGTGGGTGATGTGTCCAGCCCAGACTCAGGGCCTACCATGGTCTGTGATGTTGGAGACAGGTATTTAACCAAAGACATTTAACCACAGTAAGAATCTGATGTCTACAAGAACAGAAACTGGGCTAATAATGATATAAACACAGTAATTATTATGACCCCTTTGTATAAAATACCTAGGATGGGTAGCATAGGAAAAATCATTGCTAATACTTAGGACAACAAAGGAAGTCTCTTCATTTAAACTATTAGGCAAAAACTTTAGGCAAAAAGATTTTATCACCTAAGAGTTTGGGACGCTTTTCCTTATGAAAGCATGGGATTGGTGGTGTCAGGTGTTTTTAGAGGTAGTAGCAGAGGTCCAGAGAAAGCATCTGCTAAAGAGGAAACATGCCTTATGGAATATTGGTGTCCTAAGAAGGCCAGGAGATCATGAGTGAAAAACAGGAACTGTGGAGGGAGAGAGGGGATGGGTCCAGAGAAACCATCCACATTCCATGGAATGGTTTTAACAGAAAGGCAAGAAAAATGACTCTAATCAAGGCATTAAGAAGGAAAGCATGTCCAGTAATAAAGAAAAATATGAAACATTTCCTTGAATCCAAGCCAGTAGTCATTTCTGTAGTAGCTTATAGTCATATGCTCTCAGTGGGTCATTCTAGGAATCAGTCCATTGATGCAGCTAGACTGGAAAAAACTAGAGTGATTCAAGAGCCGTAAGTACCACAATATCATAATTTTTTGTTAGTTGTGTTTGGTTAATTTGTCTTTCCATTCGTGTTGCACTGCTCTGCAAAGGCTCTGAAACACAGCTGTGAGAAGAAGAAAGGAAATGGCTTCTCATTTCAATGTCTTTTCCATAGGTGCTGTGCTAGAAATATTCTCCAGAAATACAAATTCCCTTATAGAAGGTGACCTGACAGCATTTGCTGTCTTACTGTGGAGGTAAAGATTAACAACAGCCCTTTCTCTCTTACACAGAAGCTCTTCCAACATGTAATCAAAGCATGGCATCTTTTTGTTGAAATGTTTTCTTCAGCCCTGCAGCCAGGAAAAACTACTGATATATTGTCACTTTCTGACTGTTTGGCAGTTGAGAGAGCAGTTTTGAGGTTGGAAGTTCATAGAGTCACAGAATAAAATACCCACCAAAGTAGCTATCAGGCCTTTTCAGTCACTGGCTATGGATTTTATTACCTCCAGAAATTTTTACATACTTTTATCCCAAATGATTCATGGTTTATACCCCACTGGTTTATCCCATATCCCTGGCATTTCTCCTCTCCTCTTGCCTTACACCAGTGTATCTCCTGGATTGTCTCCATGGATTATTAGGCATAAAGGGATAGGATCAGGAATGGGTCTGCATCTTTCTTTATTTCAGGTAGTAAGACGTTACTTACAACCAATTTGTTCTCCTCAGATGAACCTTTCTTCCACAAACTAGCTTATTCCAATGTTTTTCTTGGCTACCAGGAAACTTTCAGGTCAAATGTTCTTTCCCTGTTGTCCTAAAGGTTGCATTTTTTCAGTTATAGAAAATAAAATGTTTTATGTAAGATAAAAGAAGTCTTTCAGTATTAGCTATAGGTGCTACCTACCTCTAGGGAACATGGCCCTATTTGCCCTAGCATTATAATTAACTTCTAGAACTCTGTCCAAAGAGCTCATTCATGACACTGGCCATCTCACTCACAGATGTAAACTACATTTCTCCTTATAACCAACCACTCCTATAGTTAGACTCCTAAGCATCCATATCTTTTGTGGTATAATATATAAAGGCAACAGGGATTCCCCTTACCCTTAGGGCATACTACTGTCAGAACTGCAAGATGTGAATGAAGTTCTTCTGGCATGGTGTGTCTTTCTGGAAGAAATTGCTCTACTTAACAAAATAATAGTTTTTTCTTTCATATTGGCAGATAGAAAATCATCCACCCAGTTTGAAGCATAGAAGAAAATAGACGCTAAGGTTCCTTAATAACTATTCCTATTCTGTTCCCTTAGATACTCCTGTTATACTTAATGTGAATAGTTTTTAATATTACTTAATAATACTTAATATTAAGTATTGTGTGATTTGAAGACAGACTACATGTCATTTTATTATACTCTGTCAATCTATAATATATTAGACTGATGCTTTATCTAAAATGCTTTGAGTTTGTATAATATATGTTGATGAATTTTACTACCATATGTTATGTAATAAATGTGTATTTTTGTACTTGCAGAAACTGCTGCTAACTTTTAAAGTTGTTTGGTTTTCAAAGCACTGATAATGAATATGTATGAGGTCAATGATGTCTATTAAATACCATTCTTCAGAGTTAACAATCCTACCAGAGCAATATTGCCCATTGTAGAATTTTTGCTTAACATTGGAAATTTCATTGACTATAATGTTGAATTGGAACTTTGAACTTTTACTCATAGACCATGGCCAGTCTTTCTAGAAAAAGGATTTTTTTATATATAATCTTACCACTTACTAAGCAAGTCATGATTTAGACACAGAAGTGTTCATTTTCTTAGGCATTCTGTTTTCACTGTGTACCTATAATAAGATATAGTCTATAGTCTCATATCAAAAGAATTAGCAACCCAATTTAATTGGTTGTATGAGATTTTATCTAAATTTGAACCATTCTAACCAGAGTACACAGTTGGCCCCAGACACATCTGGACATTCTAAGATATCTGGACCCAGACACTCCAAGATAGCAGTATTTATAAGATCATAAAAACATTTAATATTTCTGATTTCTCAAGACTGCTGCATCTTTGTCCTCTCAAAGTTCATTGAGGTTCACTCTGTGTAAGTTTAGCCACCATTTATTCCAAAGAGATTCCAAAAAATATACTACCTTAGTCCAGAAGAAAATGATTTACTTTAACCAAGCATTGAAGACCGGAAGTGTCAAAAGTGTCACTGATTAGATTTGGGCAATGTACACATACACTGGTGTTAATTTAATTTCTTCTTAAATTTTACAGAAATACAAAAATAATTTTGATTTTAAAAGAACCAATCTACTAAAAACACTGGATTCAAGAAATTATCTCACATTGTGTTTTTCTACTTTTCATGGAATAATAAAGTATCCTTGAACCAATGGCACATTTTATTGAGAAGAAGCTCTCATATTACATATCTTAATACAAAGTATGGTAGTAAATATTTAAGTGATATTTTCCTGCCTGGTCATGTTTTCATGACTTGAAAGGAAGCCTGCAAACTGCTTATTTCAATACAAAGAAAAATCTGAATAATAAAGTTGGGTAAAACATAACTTTCTTTAATGTCTATTCTGGTTATGAGACTATCTGATAAACTAAGTATGCTGCTGAAAAGAATACTCCTGAGTTCTATGTTATCCCAATATGGGTCCTACTCTGTTTTCTGAGTTACCTGTAAGTATAAATCCTTCACTGAGTTGTTTTTGTTTTTAAATACAGTGAACTCATTGAGCTTCAGTTCTGCGTAATATCAGATGTGTGGTAGAATTGGTAGAAGGCCCTGAGGTGTAATCTGGAAAATTTTGTTTTGAAGTCCCAAAGAAATACATGGAAGATAGTGTTAGGTGTATATTCTTTAAATCATACACTGTGTGTGCTCATCTGAAGCACCAGAGTGCACATATATTTTTAGATAGTTCAGAGTGTTTTTTAACCTATTTAATTTGTTGAGGCAAGGTAAATACATTTTTTACAGTTTGGTTTTATATGACAATATAAGATAAAAGTTTGGGAGATATTAAGATTTAAATGCTAATTGCTTCCATCTAGACTGGATTTTAGATTACAGTAACTTGGAACTAACTTTAGAACATCTCCTTGCAGCCTCTTGATCTATTATGAGTAAATAAATTAGCTAAAAACCTGTATTTCTGAGGTAGACTGAGTAAAATGGATGCTCTAAAGAAACATTCCTTCTCACATCACAGGGGCTGTGATTTACTGCCTAAAATTTTCAGGAGGAAAAGAAACATTTTCTATTTTTGCTCAAGAATGGGATGACTAAGAAGCAGAGAATCATCAAAATAAGTGAACATAAAGAAGTTTACTGCTTAAAGAAGCAGTAAATGAATAAATACATGGGAAAGAAAGCCATAGATGAGCTAATTCAAGCAAGAAGCTGAATCACAAGGAGTTCAAAAAATGAAGAAAAGAACATAGCTGGGTGGAGATGGAGGTATTACAAATAATTTAAGTGCTATTCAGGCACTTTAACTTGTATTAACAGGTACTGTTCTAGACCCTAGAGATACAAGGTAAAAGACTTGTTTCCCTCCTCAGGGACTTTAAACAGTAAGGGAAAATTGGGCTGTGTAGAAGAAGGGTAATAGTAACATACAATGGGCACTTACTGTTGTCTGCACATACTGGTGATCAATGCATTTTATATACATATGTAGTTCATTTAATGCTCATATAGCCCTATTCTGCTCTTAGCTGGAACTTCATTCTGACCCCAGGCTCTTTTGTCATCCTTTCACCATAAAATACCATTAACAATACTTCCATAATAATACTTATTCCACAATAAAGCAGACATGTACATGAGGACCAGTCCAAACTTTACTAGGTTATTAGGTCTCCACTATGTATCTGTAACTTAAGAAAACCATCCAGTACCAGAAAAATTCAGAAAGCCATGACAAATGTAAAAATAATCGGGCTGAAAGTTTGGTCCAAAGTGGTGTAAACTTGTGTCTCCCTGTTCCTTTCAACTAAGTATAATTATAAACCCTGAAAATAACATAAAAGTCAACATTTTTATTGAGAATGTAAAAGGTGATGGGGGAAGGTGAATTGGTTCAGAACACTAGGAGTAGAGAGACAACACAATAGCAAAGCAGCTTATATCTCTTCACCCAAAAAAAGAAGGAAACAAAGCTTGACCTTTCCTATCCTAGCAACAGAAGGCAGCCCAGATCTATGCATTCCTCCCTGTGATCAAGTGGAGTCTCTGACACCACTGGGTAAGCCAGATATCACTAGAAAGAAGGATAGATGAGTGCCCCACTAACAGTAAGTGGCCAGGGGGACAGTTCTTTCCTGCTAGGCCGTAGACTGCTCTCCCCCACTGGGAGATACCAGAGTGGCCAGACAACAACAGACTCGGGCACAACGAGCAGCTCAGCCTGGGAAGCAGCATTGCCCCAGCAGGCCTAAGACTCCCCTCCCTAACCCAGAGACATTGGGACAGTAACCAGAAGGCATGGATAGGAGGGACTCCACCACACAAAATACCCAGCCAGAGAAGCCTAAGACCCATGGGAAAAAGATGCTTCTCTGTGTGAGAACAGATTAAAGTAGCACTACAAAATTCTTTGAAAATTAACCACAACCCACTGTTAGTAGGTGGGGACCTGTGTGCTAAAGCTAAAAAATGTGTCTGCCTACTAAAATAAAAGATTTAAATAGGGCCCAGAGTCCCCTAACATAGTAGCCAAAATGTCCAGGATACAACTGAAAATTGCCTATCACACCAAGAACCAGGAAAATAAAACTTCAATAAGAAAAGACAACTGACACCAACACTGAGATGATTTTAAAGCAGGTATCTTAAAAATGTGTCAATCAAATTCAAATTATCTTGAAAACAAATGAAAAAAAGAAAATCTCAGAAAAGAAATAGAAGTCATACAAAAAGGCAAATGAAAATTATAGAACTGAGAAAATACAATAACAGTTAAAAAATCTTACTGTGTGGAGTCAATAGCAGATTGGCTATCCATATGACAGAGGACAGAATTAGTGAACTTGAGGACACAGAATTTGCACAATCAGAACAACAGAGAGAATAGACTGAAGGAAAGAATGAATAGAGCCTCAAGGACCTGTGGAACAATAACAAAAGACCCAACTATTATCAGAGTTCTAGAAGGTAAGAGGTGAGACTGAAAGTATTCAAAGACACAGTGGCTGAAAACTTCCCAAATTTGATGAAATACACAAATTTGCATATCGAAGAAGCTGAGAGAAACTTAAATTGGATCAATGCAAAGAAAGACATGTCATAATTAAATGTTTAGGAACCAATGACAAAGAAAAAAGACTTGAAAGAAGACAAACTCCTTACCTATAGAAGAACACCAATTTTGAGATTTATCTGAAACCATGGAGACCAGAAGAATGTGGCACATTTTGCATGTGCTGACAGAAATGAATTGTCAACCCAGAAACCCATATCCAGTGAAATTGTCCTTCATGAATAAAGGGGAAAGATGAAGGAGAACTTTTAAGAATCTGTCATTAACAATTATTCCTTTAAAGACTGGCTAAAGGAATTTCTTTAAACAGAAAGTAAATGCTTAAAGAAGAACATTTGGAGCATCAGAAAGGACAAAAGGACAATGGAAAGAAGAAAGAAGAGTATATAATGGGAGACTATCTTCATGAGCTTTATGTCTTATTTGATGCTTGAAACAAAAATTATTACACCATTTTATTCTCAAGACAATAATACTTAAAAGTGGGAAATGAAGGGACCTAAATGGGAATAGGGTTTCCATACTTCAGTCGAAGTTGTAAAATGATGAAACCAGTAGAATGTATATGCTACATATGTATAGCATAATAAACTTAGAACAACTGTAGAAACTATATATTTAGAGGCCATATCTCTCCAAAGCACCATTAGTAAATAAAGATCAAATCCTAAAAAACGTTTAACCAGCAGGAAGGCAAAAAAAGGAAAAGGAATGAAAACCAGAGGGAAAAAAAACCTGAAAACAAATAATAAAATGGCATACTTAAGCTCTAACATATCACAAATGACATTAAATATAAATGTTCTACACACACCAATCAAAAGACAAATATGGACAGAGTGGATTAAAAAATAAGCATACCTAATTATATCCTATCTATCAGAAACTAACTTTAAATTCACTGACAAATAGGTTGAAAGTAAAAGAATGAAAAAGATACTATGCAAACATTAATCAAAAGAAAGCAGGAGTGGCTGTATTAATATTGGAAAAGTTGGATTTCAGAGCAAAGAAAATTACTGGAGACAGAAGGGGACAATATATAACTATAAAGGGGCCTAATCCACCAAGATGTCATAACAACTCTAAATGTGTGTGCACAAAAACCAAAACTCTAAAATATGTAAAGCAAAATACAATATAACTGAAAAATAAAGACAAAATTATCATTGAAGACTTCAACACTCCTATCTCAGCAGCTGATGGAACATCTCAAAAGCACACCAGCAATATAGATACAGAACTCATCAATACCAAGATCCAAAAGAGTATAATTGATATTCATAGAACACTCCACCCAACAATAGCACAATACACATTCTTTTCACTTGCCCATGGAACATAAATCAAAATAGACAATATCCTGGGCCATAAAATAAACATCAACATTTTTAAAGAATTGAAATCATTCAGAGTATATATTCTGACAATACAATCAAACTAGAAATCAATAACAGAAAGATACCAGGAAAATCTTCAAATACTTGGAAACCAAGCAACACATTTTCAAATAAACCATTGATCAAAGAGGATGTTCATAGGAAATTTTGTTTAAATGATAGAACTGAATGAAAATACAATATGTCAAAATATGTGGGATTCTGCTAAAGCAGGTTTGGAAGATATAACAATACTTACATTAAAAAAGAAGAAAGCTCTCAAATCAATAAGCTAACTTCCTACTTCAAGAAACTAAAACAAGAATAGCAATATAAACCCAAAGTAACAGAATGAAGGAAAAAAGTACTAGAGCAGAAATCTATAAAATCAAATATAGGAAAATAGATAAAAATCAATAAAATAAAATAATTTACTAAAAAATTGATAAACCTCTATCAAGACTGATGGCAAAAAAAGTTACCAATAAGTCATTAAAAGAATGAGAGCATGTTCCAACTGAGTTTTACTCTCATAAATCTGACAACTTAAGAAATGGAAGAATTGCTCAAAAATCACGAATTACCAAACCTTAACTAATATGATAATCTGAACAGAGTTATAACCATTAAAAATATTGATTCAAAAGATGATGGCATGAGAGAAGAGACAGAAGCCTCTTCCCAAAACCACATATAATACAAAAATATAGTTAATATAACTAATCCTAAAAGAGCAAGAGGAAAGAAGGCTGTGCCAGACTGCAAGCACCTGGAGAAAACAGACCTCATGGAACAGGGTAACATACCAAAGCTGTGATAAGGGGAAACCAAGCCCTTCCCCTACCCCAGCTCACCAGCGGAAGGAAGAGAAACAGAACAGGTAAGTGGGGGAAGCCTAGGACTACTGAACACCCAGCTCTGGAAATCTGCTCTGGGAGCATGAACCTACATTGCATGGTGTTCTGGAGGATCAGTGGGGTTGGAAAGCTAAGACAAGCAGAATACCTGGAGAACCT